CAATGCCTACGCGAGCCTAAGTGTATCTAGCCTGCAAGTAGCATACAAATCCTTGTGCCTTCTGAGGTCATTCAGGCCCGAAAATGCCACCAAACAACTCAGTGCTGCTACAGTAAAAGTTGCTGCACAAGTTAGGAGCAGAAGCCTAGAGGACAAGAAGACATTACCAGTGGCAACTTGGGCACTGACTGCATTTAAGCATGTTGCAGATCAGCTCGACGCTTTGCCAGTGCCAAGAGAACCTCTTGGATAAACTTGTAACCTGTCTTTAAAAATATTGTACAAACGCTTGATAGCTCTTTATCATAAGCCATGTGCTAATGTGGCTTATTAAGTCTACCACACACCAAACGAATGGCCATAAGATAGGGCAACTGTATGTTGCTTGAATACCACGGTATTTGCCCAGGGGTGCTCCCATGCATTGTGTATGAGGTTTAAACACAAGTCTCAGAGGGGCTGCATATCAGTTACAACCTTTCCTGAAATTTCATTGAGCTCTTTCAACTATAGCTCTGCCAGATTCCTTCTACACCAGCCTATCTTTTCAGCCTAAAAGGAACAATCTGCATGTAAGTTATCTTTGCACAACTGATGAAAGAAAAAGCACTCCCAGCCAGCTGATACAATCAGGACACAATATCCTTGTAATTCCTCAAAGACAGAAAACAAGTTGCTTCTGTTTCTTAGATCTTGTCTTCAAAATTTTTTTTCCCCTTTCACCTGCAACCCATTCCCACAGAAAAACACAAAGGGGACGAGCAGTGTGTAATGGCTCCTACGGCCATCCATTGTAGAAGTGAGTTCAAGTCTGCAACTTGTCAAAAGCTGATTCAGCTGTAACAGAAAAGCATTTCCATTCTCAGGAAGACTGCCCCAGTAAAATAAAGGGTTTCTTTTTGCAGTAACCATGATGAAAAAACACATCTTATACATTGCTGTACGTTTCTAAGTGTAGACAAACTTTTGGAAAATAAAGAAGGATTTTCTAACAATATAAAAAAACATTTTAAATGACATAATTGATCCTAGTTTACCCAGTGGACGCATTACTTCTGTCCAAGTCAGTATTTTCCTAACAGTGCTTGCAGGTTCATGTAAAAATTGGTGGAAGTTTTTGGAGCAATAAGCAGTCATTTAGTTGCGTACTTGTAATGAATAACAGTAGGATAATTTCTGTTGCTAACACTTCCAACACTTCCAATTACAAAAAATTACTACTAATTAAGCTTTAATGCTGATCTCATAGGCCTGTATTAGCAGTATAGCTGAAAAGAAAACCACCCTAAAGACAGCCAAATCTATTCAGGGATAAACAAGTGCACATATGCATGTGAGAAATAAAATCTAAGTATTTCCTCTACAGGTCATCAGCTGCTCACTTTTAGTTTATGCTACCTGATTTTAACTTGGATAGTATTCCAGTTAACTTTTAAATTCCATTCTGTAAATATTCTTAATTTTTCCAAGGCAGAGGAAAAGTCCTTTGAATGTAAGAGCAGTATGGCTCCTTTAAAAACCATTCTCATCTAAAAGCTGCATGGGAAATAATTTAATGTAATAGGAGCTACAGATTCTAAATTATTGTATGGTAAATCATAATAAAGTAATCTACCCATTATAACTGCTCAATAATTCTTTCTTTGACTACATCCACATATCACAGCAAACTACTTTGTTCCTGAGATAACAACAATGTCTCATGATGGATTATAGTCCTTTGCACAAACACAGCACACTGCGCTTGTCGAAACGTGCATAATTTGAAAATTTGGTATCACAGAATAACTACATTATATATCTTAATGACTATTTCTACACCTAAGAAAAATAAATCTGTGCAGAAGTAGCCTTTGAGTTTAATCTTTAGTCCCTCCTACTTTGATGTATGTCCTCCTGAATGCAGGTCAGCTAACTACTCGCGATTCTACCTGTAATCTGGCCTGTAAAGTCTATGTGGCTGTAAAGCTTTGATATACAGGAAAATTAAATTATTAAGTTATTTAAAATATTGTTATGGAAGCTGATGGGTGTATAGCTTTCTCCATTTGTGAAGATGTGTTTTTGTTAAGTATCAGTCCTGAATGCTTAACCAAGGATGTCGACTGCCAACTGCACTCCTGGCATGCTCTTCCTTGTTAACTGCCATGCTCTGCACCAAAATAAGCCCTCAGCTACACCTGAACACCCTTGCTCCCTTGGTTAGGTTTACACTCATCCTGGTCAACCCTGCACTTTGGAAACCACTTGCGATTTTTCTGAGGAGACCTAGCAGAAAGTTATTGTCTAGCTTATCTCCACCACTAAAATTAGCAGATAAACTTGAACACACTCGAGAAGCAGAAGTGTTACCAAAAACAGGGCTCATTTCACATGGTCAAACGCAGGCTAAATCCACATTTCAGGACAAATTTTCAGTATTAGCATAATTCGTTCTCTTTGTGCTGGGTACGTAAAGCAGCAGTTACAACCAGTTCAACCAGCTCCTTGGGTTTTCCCTTTACACGAGGGCCTGAGTAGCTGTAGGTGTGTTTCCACATCGTTTAGATAGTTAAATACCCTGATCAGTCTCGTAAGTCATCTCTCAGTTATTTAGATCTGCAAACTTACTATGAGGCTTACTGAAAGCTGAACTGAGTCTGCAGCTTTTAGCATTATGCACGCAAGCTCATAAAACATAACCTCTCCTTCCTGCAGGCACCAGGGAGTTTGGTATTACTGTCCCCTGTATTTGGGGAGTTTTGCTTACTCGCTTTTTAATTTTACCCCAGTTTCTCTCCTTACAAGAGAGAAAAAGTAAAAAACGTATTTTGCATACACTGACCTGCTTGGTGACCTCAGTTTGAAACTAAAACGCCAGTAACTGTGATCTCTGATGGGCTTGGGAAGGGCTGATGCAGCACTGCGAATACAAACTATTTGGTATAATTCCTTTCAAAAACAGAGAGTAAAGGTTGGAGAGGACAAACAGAACTTTTTATTTTTTGGAAGCTACCTAATACAGCAGCTAGTTAGCAATATAACTTCTGAGGTGTATTTTAACTCCTGTTGTAACTGATGAAAAAAATGATAAAAGCTATTTTCTCTTCCTGGAATCATTTTTGGCCTTTTCCGAGCAGAACTAGTTTAACCTGTTGTGGGATGGTCCTGGGAGTGTCCCGGTGAACACACACAAAAGCACCTAGTCAGGGCCCTCACTTTGGAGAACTGCCTCTGTCCTGCCAGTCTAAAAGTGCCCATCGGCGCAGTCTTGAGGATGTACATCTCATATTAACTTCTTTTTTCACCTACTGGTCTAGAAGGGCAGAACTCATTTCCATAAAGGTTAATATAAGATAACTCCCTGTTCTCCCAGAAGACTCTCAAAACGTAATTGACAGCAAAATATTATATAAAAGGAATTCAGATGAGATTTTTTTTTGTCCCTGTTTATGTTTTACCAATGGAAAAGATCAAACTGATTCCTTTGCATTGGCACACTAAGAAATGCACTAAAAAGTCAAAAGGCAATTCTGAGTTTTGTAAAAAGAAATTTAAGTAGCTATACAATATTTTTAAATAAAAATAATCAATCCTTAGTGGAAAAGTGTTTTTTTTTTTAAGTTATGTTGAACTTTAACAAGACTATCAGAGAAAGTTCTCCAGCATTCCCTAAAAATCAGCTATATGTTGTTACCTCTGAGGTAACCGAGCAGGGATGCCCTGGACACAGGCCCAGGAGGCACCAGCCCAGCTGTGTGCTTGTGCGCTGATGCGAGTCCAAAAGCAGAGCCCCATGACCTGTAAGCCCCGACTTTGACGCTTCCGGAGGAGCTGTGGATCGGGGCGATGCAGGGCTATGGGCCCGGCGCGCCCCAGGACTCCGTAAAGGCTCCTTGAGCAGCCGGGGCTGTGCTTGAACCGGTCGAGGCCGGGGTGAGGGTATGGCTCCACTGGAGCCCGTGGGGTCCCTCACAGGTGGAGCACCAAAACGGGAGGCCAAGGAGGAGGCAGCAGCTGCTGCAAAGGCGGACACATTTCTTGCAAGTCTGGCAATTCTTGGCACGTCTCAGGGTGAACGGGGAGGAAGTGGCTGCTCTGCTGACAGGACATTCACTTGCCTGGCGGAGAAAAGCCTTATGAGAAAAGGGGGGGAATTTGGAGCAGGCGGGAAATGCCAAGCTCCTCCTGCCACAGAGGAAAATCCAAGCCCGTCCTGCACGAACTCTCAGGACTCTGAGTCCCAAGCCCTGCTGCCAGAAAGACCCACCCCCACCAGCTTACAGCTTTACTGTACACGACCCACGCAGGATCACAAGGCACCTTCTTAGGTTGTCAGGGTCTCCTTCTCCCGAGACCATCAGTTAAACACCCTAAACAAAGCGTAGGAGGTGATCCCAGCCAGACACCCCCTCTTCCAACCCCTCTACCAGCACAGAAAAGGGCCTCGACGGGCAACTACAAGGTCTGCTGCAGCGCGGGTAACAGCGGGTAAAAGCCACGCTGAGTGGCAGACGGCGATGGCCCCGAGAAGAGTGCCTGCCCACAGGCAGCAAGAGCCCCCCTTCCCACAGCCGACATGCGTCAAGTCATGCAGGAGACAAGGAACCAGGCACAGCAGTGGCTCCCTGCAATGGACCTGGCACCCTGCTGCTTTGCTCTCCCGCTCTCCTCTGAGGCCCAGAAGACTTCTGCATTTACGTTAAGGCGGAAAGCTCTCTTGCTTCCCCCGCTTTCCTCATGCGTTTCCTCCTTCTCCAGCAACAGCCCCTAGTGGTGTGAGAAAAATGCTGGAAGCGCTGCGGAAGGCACAGCCACTTCTGTGGGTGACATCTTACTTATGGGAAGTAGTGCATCAGAGTGGCAAGAACGAGGGGCTGCCAAGGACACAGCAGTTGGCAACGAAAGGAGGCAGCACAGGCACACCAACTAGCACATCATGACCGCTGTTAAGATCTTGCATTTGCGGCTGGGGAGTTAGAGGTGCCACGCAGAGTCCTCTTTGGCGGGTACCGCGTCACCGTGCACCCTGAATCGGTACACGCACGTGTATTCCGGGTGGCCCCAGTTGCTCAGCACCTTCAGCTTCACGTACTGTATGAAGTCAGAGCGTTCGTTCTGAAACGAGAAGAGCAGAGCTGTCTTCTCCTGCCTGTCCTGCGACTACTTGGAGCTTCTCCCCAGCCAACAACACTTGCCCTCCTGCTCTCCCGCAGTTCCCATGCCTCTTCTTCAGCGTACCTGCAGCTGGAAAGTCTGAAAGGGATGCTCTGCAGCCACGTACGTGAACTCTCCCAGGAACGTGCCCTGCTCCTCACTTTCTGCCTTCATCCCCTACAGAAAGACGGGGTGGAGAAAACAAGAGCGGGAGGTACGCAGCCAGGAGACTCAGCTTCCACAGGGCTACTAAGGAAGAGGCCAGAATTCGGCCTAGGAGAGAGCGCTGGGAACGCCACCTGTGGGTGCGCAGCACAGAGAACTGGGAGCAACGAGCACAAAGCAAGTAAGGGCCGGTTGGTTATTTGGGAGGAGTCGTGCCAGAGCCAGTGGGCCACCTCCTGTAACTCAGGCCTCCTTTAGTACCACGTGGCCCCAGGCAGGGGAAGCTTCACTTTGGCTGCACCCCAGAAAGCAAAGGAGCGTAAGGGAAACGGAGTCGCTCCAAGGAATTTCTTTCTCCTCCAGGCTCGGAGGAAGTCGCAGGCCTCAGAGAATCCTGCCGGCATTGCGGGACCTGTGCTCACCCGCCTGCCCGCCCGCCCCCACCCTGCCCCGCTTAAGAACACTCTTCCAAACCCCCCAACTCTAGACTAGAGACCACTTACATAGACAGCAAAGTCCCTGGGAGCACTGGAGATGTTTTCTCCAGGGGACACTCTCACAGAAATATGCTCCAGGGTCACCGCTTGCGGGAAGATGGCTCTAGGCAGCTTGATCACCACATGACCCTGACTGCCGGGGAAAGACCAGCAGTTTCCTGCGTGATTTTCCGGCTGAAAGAACAACAACAATGCACCCTGTTCATGTGGCAAAGGCAAACTCCCAAGAGCGGGCTTGGTCCCCCCCGCCACCTTGGTTGCTCTCTGCTCTCTGCTTCTCGGGGTCCCTACCTCCAGAATCACCTCAGGAGACTTCATGGAGTGCAGCAGGGGCAGCCCAGCCCAGAAGAGTCTCCCTCTGGTATTCCGCAAGGAGCCAGAAGTCTTGGAGTGCATGACGGTAGCCCCTGGAAATTACACCATGAATGCCCCGATCACGTCCTGTCTTCCCTGGACGACTGCATCTGCTTAGAAGGCTGTAAGCTCTCCAGAGGAGGCCATCAACCACCTAGGCTGTGGACCTCTCTTCAAACAAGCAACCCACTGCCTTGGCACAGTTCTTCCCGTTCCTGACAGGGATGAATACCGGGCAGACTCCGAAAGAAAAGCCTTTGCTGAACAACCTCCTGCGATGGGAACAGTCACAGCCCCGCTACCTCCCTCCTTTCCCTCCACTGTTACTTCCATGGCTTCCCTTTAGTGCTCCCCTGGGAGCAATCCAGGGCTGCGGACGTAGCTGTGCCCTAACAAACGCTGCCACCGTCATGCCTCTCCCCCCTGCCCTGTCAGCCTGAAAAACACTACTAAGCGTTACTACATCTCAGCGGTGGATTCACCTCTGTCTTACTTGCATGAGCTGCCTGGCACCCACAGCGGTGACTCATTAAGCTACGCTCATGCGGCATGGAAAACGAAGTCTAACATAGCCATTACCATAGACAGGAGGCGCCCTGTCTTGGTTGTGCGTGTGCTGGAGGCGCACCTGATGATTTGCGGGCATAATCGGGCATCCCGACTTGGTTGTATTCCAGCTTCTCCAGTGCTTCATCAATTAGCTTCTGAACATCCTGGGAAGGAACGCAAAAGAGAGCGGCTCATACAGAGGCAAAGAGGCACATCCCAGCCACCCTGCTAGGCCAGCTAAGGTGAACTCAGGTGTGCCACTCTGGCCCGAGGAACTGGTGGATTCCCTGAAAAGCTCCCAGGTTGCTTGGCTCTCATTGACCAGCATCGGAACAGCGGGGCTGCTCACTCCCGCGCTCGGGAAGCTGAAGCTACGGGAATGCGTTCCTTCCACAGGTGAGAGGAGGGTGAGCTGAAGGCAAGTGACATTCCCTTGGTGGCCGGCCCTTTGTTGCCCTCCAAGCAGTGTGGAGCCACAGGAAAAGGAACTGCAGAGACCCGCAACGCTTGCTGCAGCAGCACAAGCCTTTTTGTTAGCTCTGCCAGGGAATTCTACTGG